AGGTGAATCGGTCGAGTGAACCACAGTTGGGCTATGATCCAGTCGCCACACCATCAGCCGAGTGGAGTAAATGGCGAGTTGGTCCATTGACGTTGTTCGTCTCAGTAAACCTGCAAGTTAATACATCCACGAATATTTTTTGCTGGACTAAAATGTCTATACACGGATGCTACTTTGCAAGGATTAAAGACCAGCCGTGCACGCATGCATGGATGCTAGTATTTTGCAGGGAGTAAAGACCATGGATGGTCATGCATGCATGCACAGATTAATCGGTTTAGAAACTGAAAGATGGGCAATTTGCGGGAAAGACGGGAGCATCAATCACCATAATTAGGTAATGGACGCCTAATGGCCGCTTCATGAGGTGATTATCTTAATGAAATGGTAACTAGGCCATGACATGCACTTTGGTTAGAGGGTACGTACTCTCCCATATAGACGATGCAGATGAAAGAGGTGTAGACGATGGGGCAACGTGTGTTGCCAGCAATGTGAGCGAGGGCCGACAAGCGCGGCGCTGGGCGGCCAGCATGGCGCGGGGCCGGCGGGCTCGTCGCAGGACGGCCAGCATGGCGCGAGGCCGACAAGCGCGTCGCCGGATGAACGAGTACGACACTGGGTCGGCGTGCGTAGCGCGAGGCCTGCAACCACGGCGTGGCGCCGGCAAGCGCATCGCCGGTGGGGCGAGCGTGGCGCAGCATTTTGCCGCTTTGGGAGTCGGACAGGGCCGATTCTTTCGCCTCTTCGTCCGCACGTGCAGCGACCATGCGTGGAAGAGCGATGATGGTGTTCGCATATGAGGCCCAAGATGACCCTGTTCTTGGCAAAGCGCGAGACATATCACAAATAAAATAGGGAATAGATGTAAGTATTGATACAAACCGTCTGCATCATGGTTCGATAGACGTCATGCCCCATGGTGGGCGCCAACTACCGTGGGAATGATTCCGACAATAATAAGATATATGGAAACGGAGCATGATCTATCGAGATGCATATGGGTGACACGGTGGTTTTAGCGAGTTCGGGCCTCTCACGGTGGAGATAACAACCCTATGTCTCGTGCTCCGGAGAGGCTTTGTTATATCTGAGTATGTATCCGGAAATTACAATGTGTGTTTGAGAGAGAGGTGGAAGAAAAAAGAGCCCTAGTCTAGTGGTGGGGGTGGCTTATATAGAGTGCGCCACCCCCACACCTCCTATGTTACAAAGTGGGGCATGAATGCCATAAAGCCAGCCCACTATCAAGCCTTCACTATGAGAATGATGTCGACTGCTTTGCTGCCTGCTGGTCTTCGTATATCTGAGCGAGTCGTACGGTCGAGTGGTGAACTGTTATCCGAGTGGATGATATGCTGCTTGGTCGAGTGGATAGTATGCTGCTTATCCGAATGGATAGTATGTCTCTATGAAATTTACCTGGACCCACATGTTGTGTGGACCCCATGCTTCATGATATTTCGACCCTTCGTGGGCCTACCTGTTATGTGTATCCCCAACACCGCCCTCTTTTGTGTCATCAAGTTCATGCTTGCATGTTCATTTGCATATCATTTGCCCATATGCTTGCATGGAAACATTTTGTAGGCATTCCAAGCTTTGGATGCATTTAAGGTTCAACATGATGGCAAGTGCTTCAACCTCTCCCATTGCTTTCGGGTCATTAAGGACGAGGAGAAGTTCAAGGCACAATATGCCACCCTCAAGTCGCGTGGGAGAAAGCAAGTCGTGGAGGAGGTTGGGGAGGGCGAGCCGGCACGGCTGCGGGGAAAGACCAACTCCAAGAAGGAGGACAAGCGGGATGCGACATCCAACGCCTTGATCGCAAGCGTGGAGGGCATAATGAACAAGAAGGACTCAAGGGAGGAGGAGCACCGGCGTTTCAAAGAAGAGCAAATGAACGCCTTCATCGATATTCAAAGGAGGAGGCTTGAGATGGACGCGGAGATGCAAGCCAAGCAGCATGAGATGGAGGCGGAGAAGCAAGCCAAGATGCTAGAGATCGAGGCCGCCAACACCAAAACCAAGGCGAAAGAAGTGGCACTCGCGAGCATGATGACCGGGCTGGAGATCATGAAGGTGGATCTCAACACCGTGTCGCCAAGGAAGAGGCCGTGGTTCGAGAAGATGCAGGCCGACATGCTCAAGTTCACCGACGAGTGATCTCGTGGCCGCGAGCGCCTTCTTTTTTTTTGTATGCCGGCTTGTGTGCTGGCATGACCACGGGGCCGCGATGGCGTGGTCGAACTCAAGTCTCACCCTTTTTTATGTGCTCGCATGTGTGCCGGCCGGCTGGCGAGTGCGCCAGCATGAACTGTGGTGATATTTTTTGAAATCGGCATACGCTGGCATGGTGCCAGCATGAGTCATGGCCGCTGGCATGAACGGCCACGGGTCATTTTTAAAAAAAAATGAGTGCAGACATGAAATGGGTCGGCGCGTTGGGCGCACGTCGACCCAAATGCAAAATTGGACGGACGTCGGGCGGGCGGTCGATCCAAACGGACAAAAAGCAGAGAAATGTGCCGTCCGCTTGGGTCGGTCTGTTGAAGTTGCTCTTAGGTCATCTATTTTAAAACGGATGAAGTATAAAAAAGCCAAAGACCAGTTTTACGGAAAAGAAATTAAGAGAGCCGTTGAAGTTGCTCTAACGCCCGCTGCTCCCACCCTAAAAAGAAAAGGGTCGCCGACTCCACATGTTCTATTTCAGAGCTGCTTGTCCGGCTGCGGCAGGTATTTCAGAGCCCCAGCCCGTGCCCCGCAGAATCGAGGGAAAGAAACCAACCCACCACCCAACAAAACATCGGTGGCTGCAGGGTGAATATCCACCCCGCGCCCATGGACCATGCTGCTACAAGTGCATTTCCCACTACCGTCCCCATCAGGGCCACACGCGTCCCGCTACGGGCATGTCGGCCTTCCACTTCCCGCTCGCTCTATAATATCGTTACCCCTCTCATCCACGGAGCACCTCTGGCACTGCCAGCGTTGCTTCCTCCGATCTGATCAAGCGTCCCCTTCGCCCAATCTTTACGTTAGATCAAATAAAGAGTGCAATGTACGAGAAAAGCATGCCGCATTATCACTCCACAGGACCAACGAAAGGGACGGCCTGTTTCTCATCTCGTGCGACGGAGAAAACAATGCAGCGTGTCACTCAGATTTTTTCTTTCCAAATCGTTACACCTTTGTATCTTGGACCATCTAGAATAAGAACGCTCACCACATTTCGCATCTGGTCAAATCGTTGGATCTTCATCCAACCACCATCCTTTTGCACGCGCGTTCTTCTTATTCCTGCACCGTGCTGCCAACCGACGCCGGCCTGGCTGCCCGCCCCTGTCTTTTGTGGTCGGTGAACTACCACACTCGGCCATCCATCTAAACCTGAACAATTAGAGCATACCCATTCATCCATCACCGTTCGTTTGGGTCGGCTGTCCTCTGGAAAAGCGAGGAGGAGGAAGAGTAGCGCGGAGAGGAGGAGGAGGCGGCTTACGAGGCGAGCATGGCGAAGGCCATGGCGCCGTCCGCGGCCCGCAACTGCATCGCGCCGCCGCTAACCCACCGTCCTCAACCAAGGCTGAGCCGGAGCCGACCCCCATCGAGCGCCACTCCTGAACCGGGATGGTGCGTGAATGGATCAACGTGCCACTGATCTGGATGGGGGCGACGAAAGTGCAGGAGCGCGCCTAACTCGAGCAATGGCGCCAGCAAAGGCTGGCCGAAGAGCGCCGCATGAGCGAGTACCTCGAGCAACTGGATCGCGACGCCGAGGAGGAGGCGCGCCGTGCCCAGCCAGCGGCGGCCCAGCCTACGGTGGGCGAGATCGCCAGAGTATGGAATATGGCGTTCTTCCGGGCTTGTCCAGCGCCGACGCTGATCGTCCTCACTGGCCCCGACGTCGACGACGAGGACTCCTAGGGCAGCGCGCCTCGTCGTAGTTTAGGTTTAATTAATGTTTTAGTGAATGTAAATGTGGACGCGTGGACTCTTTGTGTCCGGCATTCATGTTTAATTAATGTTTTTCTAATTTTAAAATATTTGTGTTCTGTTTTCTTTCATGTGACCTAAATAATTAGTCGAGCTAGCGTTGGACGCATGTGCCGACCCAAACGCGAAAGCTGCATGAGTGTCTGTCGAACCGATCCAAACGAATAAATAACGGATAAAATTGTCGTTCGTTTGAGTCGGCCGTTGGAATTGCCCTTGGCCCGCTCCTTGTTCACGGCTCGCATTCGCCGTGGAGCTCTACACTTACGGACATGTGCTACTGACTTATGGTTACGGACTGAAGTGCAGCTTTGTGGTCGGAGATTAGGCTGGTCACAATGGGAAAGAACTTAGGAGTAACATCACACACTCCAATACAACTTTGCTTATGTGGCACATATTTAATAAAGAGAGAGGTGTTTGTGGTAACTAGCTAAGTTACCGAAACATCACACACTCCAAAAAACAATGAATCTATAACCTAATAAATACATCGTTGCATGACACTATATAGATGCTCCTACCCACTATGGAGGTAGTAACATAGTCTAGGGAAGTGTGTAAGTTACTAGCTTATGTTCTTACCCATTGTGACCAGCCTTAGGACGTGAAGCGGGCCACCTGCAGAAATCAGGGAGGCTGAGATTGGGTGAGTCTTTTTCCGTGAAAACAATCCGTAGGAAGCCTCCGTAAGTGTAGCATTTTTGGGCGTGCTCGGGGCTGCGCTGAAATGGACTGACGCTTCAGTTACAAAAGTGAAAATGAGAACACCCGAACAAAGAAAATGGGGTTGGTGAAGATCACGAAGTGTAACGGAAATGCAACATAAACAAAGCGGGAGTGCTCTGCTGCCACTGCCGTCTTCCTCCTCGTTAGTTTCACTTACACGAATGCGGATATTTTATTGCATAATTCTCGCTGGGATCGGTCGTACATGCGCATCGGTACGGTGCTTATACATGAGGAATTACCGCACTAATACCGGTGATAACGCTGCCGAGGAGTCACATGACGGTGCAGGCGCCGGACGGGTCCTCCTCGCAGACCATCATGTAGCCGCCGCACGGATACGACGGCGGCGGAGGGTTCTGCCAGCACTGGCAACCGCCGTGTCCCTGGTGGCAGCAGCAGCCGGACGGCCCCGCCGGGAACGGGTAGGGGTAGGGGCACGGGTACGGCACCGGCACCTCCACAATCTTGGGCGGCGGCGGCGGCGGCGGCGGCGGCTGTTGCTTCACCTTGACCGTCTCATCCTTACCCGGGCCCGGGGGCTTCACCTTGTCCGTCGCCGGCGGAGGCTCGGGATCCTGTTTCTTGGGCGGCTCGACGGTCTCGATCTCCTTGATGATGTTGCAGGCCTTGCAGCAGAGCTTGTCGCCCAGCTTGTCGGCGTCGAAGGGGCCCGACACGATCACGTGGTTCTTCTTCTCGTCGTACTTGATGTCGTCGATGATGAACTCGCCCTTCTCTGCAACCAAAGATTTTCCTCAGCCTCGGTGCAGCTAGGAGAGACATGAACAGCCCTCGAGTACGTACCTCTGATCCTCTCGAGCACCTTCCTGATCTTGGCGTGGCAGCGGCCGCAGTCGAGGTCTACCTTGATGATGATGGTCGGCATCTCTGCACGGCACGCAGCTCCCTGACCACGACTCTGGCTGAATTTTTGTCTACCTTATCTTGCTCTGCAGAGCAGAGAGAAGACCACTTGTTAATTGCAACTGATTTAGGTAGAAAAGGAAGTAGTGATAGATCAATAAACAAGAAGGCCTGAGAGTAACGGTGGTGGAGGAGTAGGAGGAGGAGGGCAAGAATGGGGTCATCAGCTTACCCTCATCCGGAGGAGACTTGCTGACGACAAAATGGGTGAGAAGCCAGGAGGAAGAAGTCTCCATAAAAGGACGCAGCGGCACGACACTTGGCTGCACCGTCGACCACGCCCGAGAAAGCCGAGCCGCATGTCGCCTTCAAGTCTGTTACGTACTACTATTTCGCATTCCTTTTGAAAGCATTACTAATAATGTTTTATTTCGAAGTTGTCAAGAAAAAAAGTTTTATTTCGAAAACTTCCAATGATTAATAATACACTAGCACATATGCCTGTGAGTCGCACCGAAGAATTGTTGACCATCCAGCCAAGTTAAACACAATCCGATTGCAATTACATGTTAAGTTATATCATGCTCCCACTGTCCCATAATATACCGCATATCTCATGTTCACCCACAATCCCGCGTACAAACCATCCAAAGTATTGAGAGTTAATTTCTTCTTTTTGAGAAATGCGAACTTAAATCCTTCCTGCTCGCCTGTAACAACACAATGGTGTGTTCGTTTCTCTAGGGGTAATCAGGACCCACTCTTCACTCTCTATCGATTCCTGGAGCGCTTTATTGATTTTCCATACAACTTGCAAATGTATATAAATATGAAATTTAGTGTAAAAAATGAGAAGGTGGTTATTTAGTTTGATAAGTAAACAAACCCTCTCGTCTGGATTTGAAGGGCTTGGCGGCCAAAACTCTACAACCAAGTGATAACCTCGCGTGAAGATTAAATGCATCTAACTGTAGCCGGTGACCGCATCAAGCAGCAGCTTTCGATTGGAGGAAAGAAAACCCATCGCATACATTGGCTGGTGCTCTATAACGATCTGCTAGAGGGATTAAATCAGGCATTTTTCACGAACAACCAAAAAACAATGAATCTACTCATTGCACTTGGCTTAATAATAATGGAGGGAGGTAATAGACACAAGTACGAGCTAGCTCAATTTACTTACTCAAGTTTTTTTTTCTTTCTTCAACAAATGTTCAAAAAATTTAAAAGTGTTTGTGAAAACTCCAAAAAGTTTGAAGTTTCTGAAATTATTCGCATTTTTATATTTTTTCATTGATTTTGAAAATGTTCATGATTTCAGAAAATGTTTCTGTTTCGAATTTTGTTCAATCATTAAAAAAATGTTCAGGGGATTTCATAAAATGTTTGGGTTTTGAAAAAGTGTTCTCAATTTCAAAATATGTTTGCTTTTTTAGAAAATAAAACTCTGTTTTCAAATTTTGTTCATAAAGTCAAATAAAAATCACATTTTCATAATTTGTGCGTAAACTCTTAGGGGAATTTCACAAAAAATTTGTGTTTTAAAAAAATGTTCATAATTTCAGAAAATGTTCCCATTTTTCAATTATGTTCCTGTTTTTCAATAAATGTATGCATTTTCAAATAGTTGTTCATAGTTTCAAGAAATGTTCAAGTCTCTGAAAGTTTGTTAACATATTTTGAAAATGTTTGTTTTTCAAAGCTATTTACTTTTTTTGAAAAAAAATCAGGTTTGAAATTCAAAAAAAATACATCTTTCTTTGCATATGGTTTATATAAGCTGGGCTGCAATTTTTAGACAACAAATTGATGAATTACACTGGCTAAGGGCGTGGTTAACTCGCGTGAGGTGTTGTGTTCGATTCCACTCAGGTATAGACTTTTGCTAGTTATTTTTATATTTTGTGACTGCCGGTCCTTTCTTTTAATAAAGAGTCACGCTGCTATTGTAAGACAAAAGATTGATGGATGCATTTGTTAGCAACCCGGGTGTAGATGCTGCAGGTTGCAGGTTCGATTCCCACATGGGCTGTCTGTTTTTGATAATTTTTTACCGGATGACTCAGCGCGAGAGCGAGATGATTTGGGACAAACAAAAATAGTTGGTTCCATGACGGACGAAAATATATCTGGGTCCCGCCGCAAACGAAAAAAGTGGAGAAACGCTTCATCCTTTATTATTATGTAAAGATAAAGATATAACAACAATATAAAAGTATAAGGGTGAAAAGTAAAATAAAACCAGATCCATGGACAATGGACTACCTAGCAATAATTATAAGCGTTGGAATGGAAGGCACGTCACAGTCATTGTCTCGTTAAGCGGGGCTTACCGCATAATGTGTTATGATCCCACCGCAAACGAAAAAAAGTGGAGAAACGCTCTGTCCTTTATTATTAGGTAAAGATATAACAACAATATAAAAGTATAAGGGTGAAAAGTAAAATAAAACCAGATCCATGGACAATGGACTACCTAGCAACAATTATAAGCGTTGGAACGGAAGGCACGTCACAGTCATTGTCTCGTTAAGAGGGGCTTTACCGCATAATGTGTTATAATCCCACTAGGGTTTTCCTATCTTACAGACACAGAATCAGGATACAAGAGGAAACTGGAAGAAGAAAATACAAAGGGGAAAGTGTTATGTTGCTCGATGACCCTCCTTTCTGTTCTTTCTGTTGGAAATATGCCCTAGAGGCAATAATAAAAGTATTATTATATTTCATTGTTCATGATAATTGTCTTTTATTCATGCTATAACTGTATTATCCGGAAATCGTAATACACGTGTGAATACTTAGACCACACTATGTCCCTGGTAAGCCTCTAGTTGACCAGCTCGTTTTGATCAATAGATAGTCATGGTTTCCTGACTATGGACATTGGATGTCGTTGATAACGGGATCACATCATTAGGAGAATGATGTGATGGACAAGACCCAATCCTAAGCATAGCATAAAAGATCGTGTAGTTCGTTTTGCTAGAGCTTTGCAAGTGTCAAGTATCTCTTCCTTCGACCATGAGATCGTGTAACTCCCGGATACCGTAAGAGTGCCTTGGGTGTACCAAACGTCACAACGTAACTGGGTGACTATAAAGGTGCATTACAGGTATCTCCGAAAGTAGCTGTTGGGTTGACACGGATCGAGACTGGGATTTGTCACTCCGTATGACGGAGAGGTATCTCTGGGCCCACTCGGTAATGCATCATCATATTGAGCTCAATGTGACCAAGGTGTTGGACACGGGATCATGCATTACGGTACGAGTAAAGTGACTTGCCGGTAACGAGACTGAACAAGGTATTGGGATACCGACGATCGAGTCTTGGGCAAGTAACGTACCGATTGACAAAGGGAATTGCATACAGGGTTTGATCGAATCCTCGACATAGTGGTTCATCCGATGACAACATCGAGGAGCATGTGGGAACCATCATGGGTATCCAGATCCCGCTGATGGTTATTGACTGAGAGAGTCTCGGTCATGTCTGCATGTCTCCCGAACCCGTAGGGTCTACACACTTAAGGTTCAGTTACGCTAGGGTTATAGGGATATGTATATGCAGTAACCCGAATGTTGTTCGGAGTCCCGGATGAGATCCCGGACGTCACGAGGAGTTCCGGAATGGTCCGGAGGTAAAGATTTATATATGGGAAGTCCTGTTTTGGGCATCGGGACAAGTTTCGGGGTTATCGGTATTGTACCGGGACCACCGGAAGGGTCCCGGGGGTCCACCGGGTGGGTCCACCTATCCCGGGGGGGCCACATGGGCTCTAAGGGGGTGCGCCTTGGCCTAATGGGCCAAGGGCACCAGCCCCACATAGGCCCATGCGCCTAGGGTTTAAGGGGGCAAGAGTCCTAGGAGGGTAAGGCACCTCCTAGGTGCCTTGGGGGGAGGGAAAACCCCCCTTGGCCGCCGCACCCCCTAGGAGATTGGATCTCCTAGGGCCGGCCACCCCCCCCTTGGCACCCCTATATATAGTGGGGGAGAGGAGGGACTTCACACCTGAACGCCCTGGCCTTTGGTTGCCTCCTTCTCCCTCCCCAACACCTCCTCCACCTCCATAGTGCTTAGCGAAGCTCTGCCGGAGTACTGTAGCTCCATCAACACCACGCCGTCGTGCTGCTGCTGGTGCCATCTCCCTCAACCTCTCCTCCCTTCCTTGCTGGATCAAGAAGGAGGAGACGTGGCTGTTCCGTACGTGTGTTGAACGCGGAGGTGCCGTCCGTTTGGCGCTGGTCATCGGTGATTTGGATCACGTCGAGTACGACTACATCATCACCTTGCAAGCTTCCGCACGCGATCTACAAGTGGTATGTAGATGCAAACTCTCTCCCTAGACTCGTTGCTTAGATGAACTCATAGATGGATCTTGGTGAAACCGTAGGAAAAATTTTAATTTTCTGCAACGTTCCCCAACAGTGGCATCATGAGCTAGGTCTATGCGTAGTTCTCTTTGCACGAGTAGAACACAACTTTGTTGTGGGCGTGGATTTTGTCATCTTACTTGCCTCTACTAGTCTTTTCTTGCTCAACGGTATTGTGGGATGATGCGGCCCGGACCAACCTTACACGTACACTTACGTGAGACCGGTTCCACCGACTGACATGCACAAGTTGCATAAGGTGGCTGGCGGGTGTCTGTCTCTCCCACCTTAGTTGGAGCGGAATCGATGAACAGGGCCCTTATGAAGGGTAAATAGAAGTTGACAAAATCACGTTGTGGTGATTCGTAGGTAAGAAAACGTTCTTGCTAGAACCCAATTGCAGCCACGTAAAAGATGCAACAACAATTAGAGGACGTCTAACTTGTTTTTGCAGCGATTGATCATGTGATGTGATATGGCCAGAAGTTGTGATGAATGATGAATTGTGATGTATGAGATCATGTTCTTTGTAATAGGATTCACGACTTGCATGTCGATGAGTATGACAACCGGCAGGAGCCATAGGAGTTGTCATTATTTTTTTATGACCTGCGTGTCATTGAATAACGTCATGTAAACTACTTTA